ATAAATTGTTTAAAGCGGTCCCACCAATCCACAGCCTATCTTCTTGTCATTTTTATTTATTTATTTATTGATTAAAATCTCAAAATTTGATCAATGTATTATATTTTTTCAAAAAAAATAAAATAATAACAATAATAATGGTGAGGTACGCGACCAACCATGCCCCACCCTCCTTCTACCACTGTATGGGGGAGGCTTGTCGGCAATTAAAAGAAAAATGTTCAATGACTAAAGTAACACATTTTTAAAATTTGGTTACCAACAAAGTTTATCAACCCATTTGACAAGACTTCAAGATTTCGACATAAATTTCGAAAGACATAATCTCTTTGGTTGTGTCCCATGATTACTGGGGCTGTTGTTGATAAAATAATTGTACATGTAAATCCAAAATTTATCTTAATTTTTTGACCACAAATTTTCTATCAAAATACTTTACCAAAATGTATTTTGGGGGAAAAAAAAAACGAGGCTCCAACAGACTCTAGATATCAATACTACATAAACAATAAATTGTAAATTTGCATGCTAAGTAAGCCTATGTTTGACATAATATTTTTTGGAAAGAATGAGTTTTTGAATAATAAATTTTCTAAGAATATATTGTTAAAAAGTAATTTTTTTTTTTTATCAAATGCACTTAAAATTTTATTGTGAGAATGTATGATTGATAATGAGTGTGGGAAAAAAAAGTTTCGAAATAATGACTACCAAATATGAGCTAAATAACAATCCATAAAATTTGTTCATATTCTTTTCAATCTTGCTATATTTACAATTGGTTTACACCCTAATTTACAGGATTTACATTTAATATATTCTTACACTATCATTAACATCTCACACATTTCATCCAACCACCGTAAAACTTCAACTTCAGTCTTTTGTCAACGAAGGTGTCAAAGTAGATCTACAAATAGCTTAATTGTATTCTCCTACTTCAATTTGATTGAATATATTATTTGTTAGTTAATTACTTCAATTCATTTTGATATAAATCATTGATAGATTTTCTAAACTTAAATCTATTACCATTCAAATTAAGTCCATGTTTGTCTCTCGTTATTTCAAAAAAAGAGTATATATATATATATATACACACACACACACACTTACTAATTTTTAACCACATTTACACAATAAAATATTCTACACATAAATCCCAAAATTTTTTCCCTATTTTTTAACCATATACCGAAAATTTACTATTCAAAAATATTTTTCCAAAATAATGTCTACCAAATAGGGGCAAAATTAGCAAATTTGGCTGATTGGATGGCCAATCGTATGTCCTTGTTTGACGTAGATAATTCAAAATTTATCTCATCTTTTTCAAACTCATTTTTAACTATACATCGTCTCAATAAAATAATTTTGTACGTAAACTTATAATTTTTCACTATTTTTTAACCATACATTTTCTGAAAATTTGTTGTTTACAAAATTTAGCTGATTCTCACTGAAATTCAATATTTAGCTGATTTCAAATGAAGCCACTCAGTTCCCTCCATCGGCCTAAAGATTCCCTCATGGGTTCATCAGATTTGTCTAGGGCTTGATGGTCAACTTCTGTAATATATTATTTTTCCAGATTTTTTCACCAATCTTTAGATGAGTTAATGCTTCAATCATAATTTCTGGTATGGTAACAATATGGACGGTTTATAAATATTTATATTATTTTTACTCGTACATTTCAAGGTACCTAAAATAATGATTTATTTATATTTTTTTAATATATCCCTGTATTAAATAATGATTTAAATAGGAGCAGTTCATATTTGTTGATAAATAATACACATCAAATAGGAGTTTTTAGAAGAATGCATGGTTAAAAAATACGTAAAAATTTTAAATTTACGTACAGAATATTTTATTGGGTAAATGTGTGATTGAAAATGAATATGTAAAATAATTAAAAAGAATGCGAAATAATGGAGACAGAATAGTCCTAAATCACTGTTAATATCACATGCAAAGAAGGTACCTACAAATTTACATTGGGTCAAGCGATAATAAGCCAAATTTTAAAGGCAGTGTTGTACAACTCCAGTCACCCAAATATTTTTATTTTTATTTTTTAAATGAAAAGAGCAATCCATTAAAAAATTAGGGAAAAGAAACCAACGCCACAACCGGCAATCTCACGGGAGAACTGATAGGGTAAGTGGAGAGAAGGGTAAAGGAAAAAGGGAAGAAACCTTCACAATGGAAGGAGCCAACCTTCACTGAGGAAACTAAAGGAATGGGGAAAAACCCTCACCGACAGAGGAGGGGAGAAGAACCTTCACACAGAGGAAGGACTTTAATTATAACCAGTCACCCAAATATTAATGTCATAATTTAAGTGCATTCAAGAAATATTAATTGCATCATTTAAATGCATTCAAGCTGGTGCAATATTTTTTTTTTCACAACTTCTCGAATCCCAATATCTTTGTTTACCCACCAAGAGGAATCCAGACCCAAACCTGTCGACACATTTTGCAAAATGGATCCCGTATCATTGAATAATATTTAAGAATTAAAATTGTTTGATGGATATTATTAAGTAAATAATGTATTTTAAATAGTAATATAACGAGAAATATGTAGTTGAAAAGTAAGGAAAAATTATTGATGTGATGTAAAATATTATTTTATTGAAAAATGTGTGATTGAAAATGAGTTTGAAATAATGTATTTTGAAAGAATGTGTACCGAACAGGGACTAAGAACATATTTCAGCCTTATTATTTAAAATTCATTTTCTATTAAACTCATTTTTATGGTGTGTTTGAGGAATATTATCGAGGAAAGAATGTATTTTAAATAATGATATGATAAGAAATATGTGGTTAAAAAGTAAAGAAAAGTTATTGATATGATAGAAAATATTATTTTATTGAAGAATGTGTGGTTGAAAATAAGTTTTAAAAGAATATATTTTGAAAAAATGCGTTCCAATAAAATAATTTTGTACATAAATTCAAAATTTTCTATACTTTCTAACCACATATTCTAAAAAAAACATTTTTTATCATAAAATGGGGCTCAAATCTAGTGTATTGTGTAACAAACAGCTAATGTAATGTTCAAAAAATTTGACCAAATTGTAGCGAAGTCAAGATCTTCTTGTTGGGGCGAGGGGGCGAGATTTTTTTTTTTTTTTTGAATCTCAGAGATTTCATAGAAGGCGCTAAAAGCGGTTACACGGAGGAAAACCTCCAACACAGGTCCCAATGTACCCATAGCAAAACCGTTTCTGGTATGGTAACAATATGGACGGTTTATAAATATTTATATTATTTTTACTCGTACATTTCAAGGTTCCTAAAATAATGATTTATTTATATTTTTTTAATATATTCCTGTATTAAATAATGATTTAAATAGGAGCAGTTCATATTTGTTGATAAATAATACACATCAAATAGGAGTTTTTAGAAGAATGCGTGATTAAAAAATACGTAAATGTATGATTGAAAATGAATATGTAATAAATAATTAAAAAGAACGTGAAATAGTAGAGACAGAATAGTCCTAAATCACTGTTAATATCACATGCAAAGAAGGTACCTACAAATTTACATTGGGTCAAGCGATAATAAGCCAAATTTTAATGGCAGTGTTGTACAACTCCAGTCACCCAAATATTAATGGCATAATTTAAGTTCATTCAAGAAATATTAATTGCATCATTTAAATGCATTAAAGCTGGTGCAATATTTTTTTTTTTCACAACTCTCGAATCCCACTTTCTTGGTTTACCCACCAAGAGGAATCCAGACCCAAACCTGTCGACACATTTTGCAAAATGGATCCCGTATCATTGAATAATATTTAAGAATTAAAATAAGGGTGTGTTTGATGAATATTATTAAGTAAAGAATGTATTTTAAATAGTAATATAATGAGAAATATGTGATTAAAAAGTAATGATAAATTATTGATGTGATGTAAAATATTATTTTATTGAATAATGTGTGATTGAAAATAAGTTTGAAATAATGTATTTTGAAAGAATGTGTATCAAACAGAGACTAAGAACATATTTCAGCCTTATTATTTAAAATTCATTTTCTATTAAACTCATTTTTATGGTGTGTTTGATGGATATTATCAAGGAAATAATGTATTTTAAATAATGATATGATGGGAAATATGTGGTTAAAAAGTAAAAAAAAGTTATTGATGTGATGGAAAATATTATTTTATTGCAGAATGTGTAGTTAAAAATAAGTTTTAAAAGAATGNAAAAAGTAAAAAAAAGTTATTGATGTGATGGAAAATATTATTTTATTGCAGAATGTGTAGTTAAAAATAAGTTTTAAAAGAATGTATTTTGAAAAAACGTGTTCCAATAAAATAATTTGTACATAAATCCAAAAATTTCTATACTTTCTAACCACATATTCCAAAAAAAAAAACATGTTTTATCATAAAATGGGGCTCAAATCTAGTCTATTGTGTAACAAACAGCTAATTTAATGTTCAAAAAATTTGACCAAATTGTAGCGAAGTCGATTGGGGCGAGAATTTTGAAGACACAAAATATACGTGTATACTTTAAAAATTTGTACATATAAAGATTTTCAAATTTTTTAAAATATGGCAGAATTGTATTCTGGCCCCGGACCAAAACCACGTAATCTTTCGGATACAGAGGTCTTCATTATGTTAAACTGGACCCTAAAAGACATGAATGTGCAGAACAGGCAACAGGGTATGAACAATAGTCTTTTGGGCAGCGGAAGCAAATATTTCTTCCGATGCCATATTCTTGCCTTTGGCCTTGAGCACTTTTCTAGACTGCCATCTAAATAACAATAACAAATATAACTTCGGATGCAATTTTTGACTCGCTGAGTAAATATACGTACTATTTTCCCATTTCATCAGATAATTAAAAAGGCTATATATGGCTATGAATACATAATATTTTTCCCTAGAAACTAGTGTTACACATAAAGATATAGAACTTCAGGTTCTACTTATTTTAATACACAAGATTTTATAGCCTAAAAGTGATTATTATGTGACATCCACATCCCATGCAAGTTCAAGTTTGGAGAACCAGATTTCACTGAGTAAACCCCATTCCAAATCTCTGTAAAAGCTCTAACAATGATCCCGTGGTAATATGGTGAGTTCAGTCGCAAAAAACAGTTGAGAAGCTCTTTAAGATCATCTTTCGAGTAGATTTCTTTTTCCAGTATCATTTGCAGCATTGAGTGCCTAAAGTCGAGATATGGGTCGTCGGACTCTTTCTCCACCGCCACGCTTTTACCGCCAATCTTTCCTAATCCTTGTACAGCTCGAAGGCTCTTGATGTCTGAATCTGTGTCGGACGAGGGTGGGGTGTCGGTGGTGGCGTCCCATGAGCTTGAAGAAGAATGGTAGTGATGGGATTGGTGGCGGTGGTGGAGGTGGTGGGGTTTGTCCCTTGGTTTAGGCCGGAATATGCTGGAGAGCCTTGGCCTTTTGCAACCACTGCTGCAGCCTAGGTCCACTGCCACCGTGTTGAGAATGTACCTTTTCTTACTGCAGCTTGACATAGTCGACGGCGGTGCTGGTGGCGGGAGAGGAGTTAGAAGCTCTTGACTCTGTTTAAGGAAATATTGTGCAATGGAGTTTGAGGTAAAGAGGGGTCTAATATAAATTCAGATGTGAGATTGGAGGGGCCCTTCATACAAAGTTCACAGCCATTATTTGAGACAGCCTAATCTGTATAACATTAGCCAAAGAAAATTGGAATTTACGTAAAAAAAAAATTAGCATCTTTATGCAAAAAATTTATTGTATTGCCATTAATAAAGGTAGGGATGACAACGTGATGGGTATGGGACGGGTCAAGCATTCCAACACAGTCCCGTCGAATATTTTTGTCACATTGTCCCGTCTCCATACCCGATTAAAGTGGGACAGGACAGGTTCGGGGCGAGATCGAGGTGGGGTGGGTTGGGTTGGGTTGGAGTGGGGGCAAATCAGCCTGCCCCATTTATCGTTCTGTTTATTTTTTATTTTTTTTATTTTTTTTACATCTTTAATTAGTAAATATTATTAATTTTTTTTCCAATTTGTTAAGAACAACTTATATTCTTTTTTAAAAATGACTACAAATCTTTTATATTTGTTGAATAAAAAGTTTAAATTTGAAATTAACTTTAAATGGGCAGGTAGCAGGACGAGGATTATGTTTTTCATACCCACCCCGTACCCATTTTCGGACAATGACCTTCGTCCAGTCACTGCCCCATTTACTCGATTGGGCATGTAATTCAAAACTCGTTCAGTGCGGGGCTCCGTGAGTATCGAGTTGAACGAATTATTTTGCCACTCCTAAATAAATGTAACAATAAGAATAAAGGGATGTATTACAATCTTCTTGTCGAGTACTTTTGTGCATGATATACTCAACATGAATGGATATTATAAGGATCAAGATTTTAAATTTAAATTTTTTTGCCTTGAATTTATAGCTTCAAAGTGGTTAGCTTAAAGTACAGTAAAATATCGATAAATGAATGTTCGATAAATTAATAATATCGCTTAAATAATAAAATTTTTCGATCCCAACTTGGATCGGTGTATTAAATTAATAATATCGTGACTAAACGTATAAGATAATAATTTTTTTGAGATCATTTGAGGTCAAACAAATATATAAAATAATAACTGCTTAAATTTATACTAATAACTATAGAAATTACATTTCATGTGTACATCAAATAAATTGAACGATTAGTCTTTCAAGATATTAAACTTTAAAACCAATGCATGTACATTAATATTTTCTCTTTAACATTGTGTGCCTTTTTGTGTGCTTATAAATTAAATTTGAATTTCACCATATTCAATTTTTTTTTTTCAAAATCTCCTACACGTATTATGGTAATATATAATATAAATTATAGAAATATAAAATACTCTATAAATTTATTTATTTTAAAAAAAATATTCATTTAACGAAATATAAAATACTCTATAATAATAATTTTTCGATCACAACATCATTATGTTACGAAGGTTTTACTGTATTGGCCAGGTACAAATAATAATAATAATTAGGAACCTGACATCACAATGTTTATGATGATCTGGGGATCAGTTTCACGATCAACCCTATGATTCACCATCGACAGTTTTGATTTCATGAGCCAGTAGAGTATAGGCTAATAAGGTTTGCCTCAGTTATCTTTTGTTAATAGTTGCACGAGGATGAAGCACCATTTTTGCTTATATCATATGTAGACCTTAAAAAATGTGCTAACAGAATTTTGACCACCTCTTTTCACGTAGACATCACTTGTATACTCGAACACCCCGTTAGGAGACTCAGGTTGTCGGTTAAGAAAAAGGTTTGACGATCGTTTGCACTCCGACGATCAGTCAACATCCGGACGAGAGGAAAGAGAGTGCAAGGAAGAGGGGATTTGGATAGGGTTAAAATGAACATATCTTTTGTGAAGTGAAGTCACATATGTATAGAGAAATGAAAATGAGCCAAATGGTTAATGAATTGAGCACGGTCCCAATATGAAGTCATTTAATTAAATAGCCCAATTGAATTGTCGACGCAACATTGGCATATATGAGATTCCCTCCGTCTAAGTAAGCCACATAATTTATAGGTGTAACAATAGTCCCCCAAATCTGAATCGTACATTTATGTGAGGGTCGGACTTCAAAATATAAGCTGTCAAGTAGGTGATGTCTTATAGATTGCCTTAAATATATAAGTAGCTCCAATAAGCGAGAATTTACGAATTGATTTGAAAATATGCATCGATCCCAAATAATGGAGGACTTATGAACTGCCTCAGACAATATGTGTGCGAGCCTGAATAAGTGATGACTTACGAATTGTCACGAAAGATATATACTACATATAATTTGTAGAAATTTTAGTAGCATCTCATCTATAATATAGACTAAACAAACCTATAATACAATACAATATATCCATTGCACATGTACAAAATAAATTTGGAGTTCATTTGCTCCTCCAAATAATGAGAATAAAGAGAATAGTGATAGTTTAAATTTCTCCAAAATATAATGTGCATAGGGTTTATCATGAGAATAAAGAGAGTAGTAAATGATATGCTTGCACGGCTCAGTGTAATAGTATTGCTAATGTGAAACAAATAACATGTTGATAATGTAGATGACATGACATACATATTGCCAGTAGTGAAAATAGTATTATGACATGCTTGCGGTAATAATGTAATGATACTAAGATACTAGTATCACAATAGTCTCTCAAATCCAAGTGTAGATATTTATATCATGGCTGGAGTCGTACATTCATATGTGGGTTGGACTTCAAAATATAAGATATCAAGTACGTGAGGTCTTATAGATTGTCTCATATATATAAATAGCTCTAATAAGCGAGGACTTAAGAACTGATTCGAAAATATGCATCGATCCCAAATAGGTGAGGATTTATGAATTGCCTCGAGAATATAAACCACTCTAATAAATGAGGACTTGCGAACTGTCTAAGAAAATATGTGTACGAGTCTGAATAAGCGAAAACTTGTGAATTGCCTCGAAAGATAGATATTGCATATAATTTTTCAAAATTTCGGCAGCATCTTCTCTGTAATATGAGCTAAATCAACCTGTAATACAATACAATGAGTGTGTTTGGTAGGGATTTTTGGGGGAAGAATTGATTTTTGAATAGTGATATGATGGGAAATATATGGTTGAAAAAGAAAAAAAAAGTATTGATGTGATGGAAAATATTATTTTATTAAAAAATGTGTGGTTGAAAATGAGAACTGATTTACTGTAGAAAATGAGAATATATACCAAACAGGCTCAATATATCCACTTCACATGTACAAAATAAATTTGGGGTTCATTTGCTCCTCCAAATAATGACAATAAAGAGAAATAAAGATAGTTTAAATTTCTCCAAAATATAATGTGCGGAAGGTTTATCATACATGGTAGTAAATCATATGTTTGCACAGCTCATTGTAACAATATTGCTAATGTGCAGTAAATAACATGTTGGTAATATAGATAACATGACATAGTGCTAACAGTAGTGAAAATAGTGTCACGACATACTTGCGGTAATAATGTAATGATATTAAAATACTAGTATCACATCATCTATTGTTTTAGCCACATTACTTGCAGCAAGCAGAAGAGGTAAAAATTCTTTCTCCAAATGAGAGAGTGTGTTTGGGACACAATCTTTTGAAAGAATGTATTATTGAATAGTAGATTGATAGAGAATGTGTGGTTAAAAATGAAGAAAAAGTTATGATATGATGGAAAATATTATTTTATTGAAAAATGTGTGGTTGAAAATGAATAAAAGAATAAGAATGAAAAAAAATAATGTGTACCAAACAAGGCCTTAATCCCTAATTGGTGGGGATTGGAATAAAATTTTTAATAGATATTAATAAAATTTAATAAAATGTGTGGTTGAAAAGTTGTGAAACTATAAAATATGTTATTAAAATTAATGTTAATTTTGATTTATATTAAAATCTCGATTTTAATCGATATCAAACAGGGACTTGTTCCAAATCATATAGTAAGATTTGGCCTTGATTAGAGATATTTTCCATCTAAAACGAGGTAATTTTTGACTGCATTGTTTTCTATTTTTCTTCTATTAGAGCGAACACTAAAGAAATGGATATTTGGATTGTACTGAAATAGATATTTAGGGCTTGCTTGGCAGTTTTGGGGCATTGGTTATGAGATTATTTATTTAAAGTACTAATTTTGAAAATTTATGAGATTCCAATTTTGGGTAATTTTTAGTAACGACTTTTAATACAATCCAACTTATATTTGAGAGTTAATTATTTAACGGTTCTGAATTTTTTTAAAAAAATAATAATAATAGAATTATATGTCTCTTAATGAAATTTTCAATTTTTATTTTTTTGTATGAAAATTTTTACTTATTAAGTAATTTTTTACATAACTTAATTTTTAACTTAAAAGCAAAATATTTATTTATAATTAAACTTTTAAGTTATAATTAATTTTTTTTTTATGTATAAGTGATTTTTTACTTATAAGTAACATTTTTGTATTTTATAAGATAATTTTTATTTTATTAGTACTTTTTTTTTTACTTTATAAGCATTTATTTTATAGAAAAGTGAATTTCTATCTTATAAGTTATTTTTTATTTATAATAATTTTTAATCAATGTATTTTTATTTACAAATTAGTTTTAGAAAAAAAATATATGTGGGCTGAAAATAATAACTGTATAGATTAGAGGGTAAATTGGAAAAAAAAAATGAAGAACAAAAAATCAATGATTTGATGGATTGAAAAATATGCTCCAAACTAAAAACCAACCAAAATCAATCCTCTAGAAAATTAACAAGCACCAATTTTTTCAAACTCTAATAAATATTACCACCCAAAAAGGTTAAAATGGAGGGGGGGAAAATCAAAATCATGTTTGGAAGTTAATTATCTAGTAGTTCTGAATTTTTTTTAAAAAAAAAAATTAAAATAAAATCATATATGTCCTTAGTGAAATTTTTTAATTTTCAAATTC